TTTCCTGGAGATGGGTTGGCTTCGCCAGCTTGGCCGGTGGGATGCTGCAGGGGCTCGGACAGCCGGCTCCATCCCGCTCCCCCAGTTAATGGTTCGGGAGGTTCAGACCAGCCTGGGTTTGCACTGAATCCCCGCGGAGGAAGTTGTTCGTCTCGAAAACATAAGGTAAATCCCTCTGAAAATGGGTTTTTATTTACGGCAGCAGAGGCAGAAACCACCCCTCCGCCCAGCGCCTGGGCTAAATTTAGGTATGATGCACGGCGCTCGCGTGGCCCCTTTATCTGCCGGTGTTGTAAATAAATAATAATGAAATAAATAGAAGAAGCTCCCTTCAATAAGTAAAACCCAGAGAAGGCGCGCACAGTTCAAACCCACGTGGCAAAGCAGCAGGAAAGAAAAAATCTGCGGCTTTCAGCGGGTGGACGATGCTCGTGGCGTCGCCCGCAGTGGACCAGCGGCATCCCTGGTGTCACCCCCCCAGCCTCGGGGACCACGGCTCTCCCGCCTCGCTCCCCGCCTCCCTGCCTCAGTTTCCCTCCCTGTAAGAAGATAATTGCCTCCTTTATTAATCCCTTTGAGATCTCCTGATGAAAGCTCTGGGTAAGAGGTTGGGCCCGCTTACTAAGCGCATTAAGTGCTTGCTATGATTATAATAGGGATTAATTTGGCTAGGTGGCTTATTTAGGTTTGCCTTTAACAGCCCAACATGTAATCAAAGCGCTGCGAAGCCAGCAAGTTAATGCTGACCTGTAACATTTCACTTCCTGACTTCTCGATGTGCCATTAACCATAACTTGGCTTTTAATTAAAGCTTGTTTTCGTAGTCGTCGAAGAAACGGGGATGCGCTCGGCCCTGCGCGGCTGATTCATTGGAGGGTGTAACGAAGGAGGAGGCACGGAGCTCGGGTCGTTCCGCTTTGCGGTGCTGCCATCCTCGGCTCTCTCTGCATCCCTGCACCCGGCCCCATCGCGAGGACACCGCCGTTCCTTTTTATTTTTGCAAGCTGTTGCATCGTTGAGTAAATACCCTCCGGTTCCCTCCGTGCTGCCGCCTGGGAAAATCAGATTTTCTCTCCTTCGCTTTAGTCGAAGGTGGTTTTGTTTGCAATATGTGTTGCAAAGAAATATGCGTGTGTGTGTGTGTATGTATATATATATTTTTTTTTTACTTCTTTTTTATGTGCACTTAAAAGATTTTCCTCCAGCCAGCTCTTGGGACTCCCGTAGGGCTTCCCTGTTTCAGGGCTTTTTCTTCCCACTTTCTCCCCAGGTTTATCTTTCTTCAGCAAACTTACGTCTTCTGTCCTGAGCGCCGCTGGCCGGCAGGCACCCTTCCCGGCCCTCGGTGTTTGACGGTCCTCTCCCCGTGATTTCATGCTCTGTGGGGACGCGCAGACCCGACGGACCCAGTCGCAGTCGGAGGCCTTGGGGAAATGGGGCATCGGGCAGGCGCCTGCCCAAATTCCCCGCCGCTTCGCCTCTGCCATCGCAGCCGGTTCAGTTTTTAGATGAAGAGCAAGTTGGCATCTTCCCCCCCCCCCATAACCATACGCTGCAGAGACGGTCTCATCCGGCCCCGGGGAAATCCTCCCCTCTGTAAGGTTTCTGCGGTACCGACCCCCTTTCCTCCGGGCAGCTCATGCCCCCCATCCCGGGGGCTGCGGGGACCTGCCGGGGGCGGTGGGTGCCCCAGGAGGGGCATCTGCCTGCTCTGAAATGCCTTGGCCACGGCGAGAGCAACAGGGAGGCTTTTGTTCTGCACCAGAAACTTTTCATCCTTCTTTACGGCTCCTTTTTTATTTCTTTTGGCTGCGCTCTCACAAATCTGAAGCAGATTAAGATACAGTTCCTCCCCCCCCCTCCCCTAAAAAAGAAAAAACCAACCCCAAAGCTTGGCTGCTTAAAATCATCAGATTTCACTGAAGTTTTAAAGTTAACAGTTTCCTGGATCCTGTGCAGGCTAACTTATTTTTTCCCTCTAACCTCCGTGGTTTTTGCTGTAACATTTCTCAGCTGTTGCAGGAGGAGGGGAGGGAGGACCAGGGTAGCTCCGATGTGGAGGAGGTTATTTCACGCAGGGGTTGGATGAATCTGGTGTGGGACTCGCTGGACTCGCGCCGTAGGGGACTGAACGGTTGTCCCCGGCAGGCTGAGACCCTGCAGCATGGCTGGCAGGTAGGTGACGGCTGCATTGGTGACGTCCTTTTGGGGCAAAATACTAGGGAAGTGGTACCGTTGGAAGAAGAGAGTAGGATGCTGTGGGTGGGACGGAGCTCCGTTTCTACTGATCGTTTGTTTGCCGGGGGCTGTGATGGTTTGTAGCTGTGGCCGAGGTCATGGGGCCCGGTAGAAGAGCTGCACGGCTCCGGCTGGACACGACCATAAGGAGTTTTTCCTGGCTCAGTGAGATTTGCTGCCCTAAATCCAGCCTGGGGTCCTCCTTACCCGCCATCTCTGCTTTTGTGCTTGGTCCGCTGTGGCATCTCCTGGTGGGAGAGCTGAAGGGAAGCCCCCGGCTCTGGTAAGAAGAGCATCGCAAGTTAAAGGAGTTGAAAAGGAAAGAAAAATAGTAGTCTGGTGCTGGTTGGTTTTGTTGCCTCTTCTCCAAGAGTGGTCTCTCCTTCCTTGCACAAAATCACCCGAAGCTTTCCTAGATGGAGGATGTTTGATTTTCTCTTGGGTGGTTGAGGAGCTGGAGCCGGCCAACCTTGGCCAACGCCTTGGCCAACGCCAGTGACTGTCGACACAAGCCCGAGGGTGAGCGGGGACAGCCGGAGCCTTGTCCTTCAGCCAAAACATCCTCTGTCGCGTGAGCGTGACCAAGGGGAGAATCCCTGAACCGTCTAAAATCCCTTTGACCCAGCAAACGGTGCGGAGATGAAAACCAAACCCAACCCTGCGCAGCGACGCTGAGCTGTGCATTAACTCTGCTGGAGCCGGGAACAAAGGTTCAGGGGCTGGTTTGGGCTTTTTTTAATTTATTTGCAAAGCAAAACAGCTCAGCTGAGCGGAGCAAGCGTTGGTGGAGGCGTGTGAGCTGCCGTGTGGTTGCTGTGCTATAAAATCCCATCCCCACCAGTGCTCGCGGGGGGGGTGTGCCGGCCCCCCGAGCTCTTGTAGCATTTCCACGTTGGCCGGGAGAGTTTCTGAACATGCGTGTTGGTCTCAGGAGGCTTTAATCAAATCCAGGCTTTTACCAGAAATCGCCTCGAAACTTCCAGCGAGCCGAGGAAACCGAAAGCAGCCGGAGCGAGGAGGCTCTCGGGCGGGCGTTCGGCGCCGGCAGAGATGCTGCCTTCGGCGAGGGGCGCGAGGAGGGTGCGGGCGAGGGGCTAGTGCCGGCGAAGCGGCTGGGATGTACGGTGAGTCTGCTCCCTGCGTAGCAGCTGGGGAGCATGCAGTGTATATATGAGCAATGCGTATATGACGGGGGGGATGGAGGAAAGCCCAGCAGGTTCAGCAAAAAAGGGTTGTCAAGGGGGAAAGGAGATGTGGGAGCGAGGATGCTGCTTGGAGAAGGAGCAGGACATGCAGAGGATGCTTTGGTTTTTGGAGCATCGCTCCCCGGCACGTTTGGGTTCGGGTCCCGTGGTTTCCCCGCCGCCTTCTCACCCCGTGCGAAAACTGGGAGCCGTGCAATTAAGGCGCCGTTGAAAACTCCCCGATCCAGGGGAGCGTTTTGTTGTCCCTCGGTAATTTTATTTGGGAAACGGGGTCCAGACTTCAGGTACTTTTCTGTGCTTGTTGTGCAATTTAATTGTGCGTCCAGCCCTCTCCCGTGGGCAGAAAGGAAAACAAGGCGTATTTTTTAACTTCCTTTTCTAAGCTGGGGGTGGGTGAACTTTATGCCTGGCCAGAGACGGTTGTGATCATTCAAGGGTGAACGGCTCGGAGAGTGATTGCAATAGAAAGGAATAATAAGAAGCAATAATAAATACATGCTTTCCAGTTCAGGGTTTTGAGTATTAACGTGGCGTTATGGCAGCGAGGGGATTTTTACGGCGATACAGAGATATCGGGCTGGTTTTCTGCCCGACTCCTGACAAACACTCCGCGAGGGTTATTGTAAAATATTAGCGTCCCGTGCGATAAAGCTAAAATCATGGGAGAGATCATACGCTGAAGTCGTTATCCCAGGCAGCTGCTCGTGGCTTCACTGGGTCTCTCCGAGGGGAGGGAGGTTTTGGTCACGCGTCGGAGACGTGGTACGTCGACAGCCAAAATTGTTGCATCTTCCTCTTTGCTGCCGCTCGCCGGTGCTTCGGGGTTTTGCTGGGGGGAAGCAGCCTGGGGTTATACCGAGGAACAAAGCTGAAACCTGCAAAAACGCCCTTAAACCGCCCGACCCGGATCTCACATGGAAAAAACAAACCAAGTCTCTTTTATGGCCCCTATAATTTCCCAGCGGCGCTGCCGTATGGCGTGGGAGCGTCCTTGCCCTTTTGCATCCTGCCTGGGACGCGCTGGGAGCGTGCTGAACCTGCGCCGGTTCACGCGCATGCTCGATGGTTTTGGAGGGGGGATTTCTACAGAATGAGGAATCGATTTTGGAAACCGCAGGAGGGGAAGGGAGGAAAAAACCTTCCTTGCCGCAAGGCTTTCTGGCTGTTTTTGACATTTTGGCCTAATTAATGAGGGTTCGGGGGCATTGGCTGCAGCCGGGGCTGCTCGGATGCAAGTCCCCGCCGTCCGTCCGATGCAGCGTTTAACCTGAAGGACGATGTGTGTGGAAGAAAGAGGGGAAATAGCTGGAGGAGAAGCTCGCAGCGGGAGAAGAAAAACCCCAGCCCCGGCTGATCCAGCCCTGCTTTGTTGTCAGGGTTGCCGAGCTGGGGGCTCGGTTTCGGGCAAGGATGCCTTCGCCCCAGGGGGCGAGGAGCGAGAAGGAAGCGCTGCTGGCTGCCCTCTCCTTCCCCCCCGCTTCCCTTTGGAGGGGCCGTTGGTCTCCCCGTGCCGCCGAAGGAGCCTCACGTCCATGTGTTTTCTCCCTGTCTCCGCAGCCTACCCATGAGCTCGGACTTCCAGCATTACAGTTTCAGGATGCCGAACATCGGGTTCCAGAACCTGCCTCTCAACATATACATCGTGGTTTTCGGCACGGCCATCTTCGTCTTCATCCTCAGTTTGCTCTTCTGTTGCTACTTGATCAGGTAAGGGAATTTTCCCCGGCTGCCCTGGTTCAGACCGAGCCCAGCACCGATCCCTCCATCCCAAAACAAGGATGGCACCACCGTGTCTTGCCAAACCGATGTGACCCATGAAAGAGGTTTAACCTTCCCCCGTCGTCGTGCTCAGCCCAACGTTCATCCCTAATAGAGCCAACAGACCCAGCGCAAACGCAGTGAGTACCAAACACCCAACACGTCTTGGAGCTACCAGTCCCGCGGGGCAGTTACGTTACCCGCTTTAAAAACAGGAGAGATATTTATGTGTACGCTCAAACAGGCTTGAAAACATGGTTGGCTTCTCAAAAAGACTGGAAGGGGATGTTTTATGGTTCCTGCTTTCTGCTTAATGTTTCAACACGTTTTCCTCTTTAATGAGTAACTTGTGTACCGTGTGCTTAAGAAATGTTTAATACCTGCTCCGTTCGTTATTGTACACAAATTGCTCATTCAACAGCGCAGTTTAGAGATTAATGATGCAGAGTTGATTTGTTAATCTGAACAATGGGGAGCGGGACGGGAGGGTTAAAGGTTGTTCCAGTTTGGGGCTTGTTTTAATTATTTTATGGGCCACTGGGGAGAGAGTTGGGCTGCTAATTGAGGGAAGAAACTCTTCCTGCCGGAGGGA